AATTAATAAATAAGAAACACCCTCGGTCTGTAGGCTGTAGCCCTTGGGTGAAAAGTCGGTTTGCGCAACTTCTCAGATCGTGCGCTTTGAGTGGCGCCACCGTCGTTGTAATCAAACTGTAGTCGTTAGTTTTAAAACATTTTTTTTAAATATTTCTAATGGTGATTGAACCATGAAACTTTTTATGTAGCGCAATTATAACCTAAATTAGCTGAAAATAACCCTAGAACCTAGAGGCTACTGTTCCTTTAATGAATGTAGATACAATTTTCTAGATTACTATTAGAAACGATCTCTGATCCCACTCCTGTTAGGTCAAGCTACTCTGTTGTACTATTGCATTCGTGCAATGTCACGATAAGCTCACACGAACTCACGATAAACCTATTTACAATATTGTTCGTCTCCAAACGCATTTGACTACATTTCACGATACCGCATATCACAAATTCAAAAAAATCGTTCATCTTCCGCCGAAAACCTGCGCATCGCACCCGCCCGCCCTCTCGCCCGCGCTGTGGTAGCTGAGATGTGACAGTGGCGGCACCTACCGGGTGATGCACGCGCGGGTGGTCGTTGTGCTTCTCCTGCTGCTGAAGGTACTCCTGCTCGGCGATCTTCTTCTCCTCCTCTGTCATGTTGTTCACCTGCTCCTTGTGATGGTACTCCTTCTCCATCTCGTACGTCTTGAAGTTGTCCTTGCGCTGCGTGTCGAGCGTCTCAAGGTCGGCGATCGTCTGCGGCGCGGGCGCGCATAAACAAGCGAACGTTCCGTGAGCATGGACGCTTTTATTTTCCTACATTTCTTCATTTTTTCGGGTAGTTTATACGTGTCTACATTTCCTATACTTCTTCACATTTATCTTCCTACACACTGTGATCGGTACTACACAAACTGGGACGATGGAGGCGGCGAGAGGGACCTACCTTCTGTATGAGCTTTGCCAAGTCAGACATGTCGAAGCCTCTCGGGTTCATGTGGTCAATGTGGCCGCCGATGTCTCCTTGCTTCAACACATCCCTGCCTGTACAATACTCGCCACGTTACTCATTAACGATGACGAACTCATTAACGATTACTCATTAACTCGTTACTCATTAACGACGCTATGACGACTACGCATTCGTGCACTATGCACTCGTAATGCGTATACTCTTATAGGATACGTAATAAATGAGATTGTTCTTGTTGACTACTACTACCACAGGGGCGTGTACAGGATTTGTAGCAGGGGGGGTCTAACCATAACCCAAACTTGGGAGGGCGCGAAGGGGGGACTTGAGCCGGGTGTTGTTGATATCCCGGGTCAACTTGGCCGGGATGTTGCTGGAATTGTGCGAGCTAGTGAGCGTGCCACGAAATTTCACAAGAAAATCGTGCAATACCATAAAATATGCACACACATGCAAGGTGGTACAGTTACGTCAAAATCAAATTTACACGTTCAGTGATCTAAGGTAGATGCCATATTTATTCAACTCTGATTTTAAATTGTTGTGGATTTGACATTAAATCTTATATACCGTATTAAAAAACAACTCATTCCCACGTGCAACATTAGTTACGATATCTGCCAACAGGTGGCAGTGCTGTTCAGGCAGGTCAGTCAGATGGCGATGCATTACCTGGTATTGCCCTGGATGCTGCTGCTGCTGCTGCTGATTCTGAAGATGCTGCTGCAGCATAACCTGCTGCTGCTGGTCCGGAGGCAATTTGGCAAAGTCCTCAAGTATATGTGGCGGAACCTGCAAGAAAAGCAGGTCTCAAGCTGACTCGACAGCCGATTACATGCATCCCCGTACACACACGCACAGACACACGCACGCACGCACGCACACACACAGGTATACATGCTAATCTACCTCTAGCTACCAATTACACCCATATATCCAGCTAGAAAGTATATCCAATTTATTCCCATTATCCAATTTGCCTGTCAAATTTAAAAATGCCTTAATAAATGCCTTTGTAATTGTATACAAATGTCAATAAGGACAACTGAAACACGAAACAATAATAATTGATATTCATAACGCAAAACACATCACTCGTCTAACCACGCAATCAACATAACATAACACAGTGCACATAACACAACAGGCACGACACGACGCAATCAACGATCAACGAGCGCGAATGACGGACAACACGAATAAGCGAGCGGCGTCGAAACCCACGATGCGACCGACGCCGGCGTCGCACGCGCACGAGGCGAGACCGCGGCGCCACCTACCGTGTTGAGGCGTTGCGGGTCCATGCTCGCTAGGTGGCGCTGCTCGGCCATGAACTGCTCGTAGGCGCGGTACTCCTCGTTATCGAACACCGGCTCGTCGCGTATGTCCTGCAACACAAACCAGAAACAATTCCACGCGTTAGATGAGAGGAAGAGAGAGAGAGAGAGAGAGAGAGAGAGAGAGAGAGAGA